AATCGGTATCGGGAGGGAAAAAATTGTATCGGAACATCTCTAGTCCAAATGTGCAAATACAGTCTAAAATATCAGAAAGAAAGCAATTTAAAACATTTGAAAACATCAGTGGCGATTAGGTTTCAACTTACCAACATGCTCCTCTGTAACTTGTACTGTAGGAAGACTTTTTATTTTATCCCTATCAGCAGGAGGAGGTCCTGTGTTCTCAAACTGGTTTAATAACTAAAGATCATAAAAAAATAGAAAACAAATGAACAGAAATACACGTTGTGTTTGTGTTTACTGCTTATTTTCTTACACAAAATCTGAAGTGTTTAGTCCAAAAGATATAAATCACAATCTACTTGCTTTGAGTAAGCCCAGTAATCAGTTTAAAAACATTCAAAAGGTTTCTTGAAAATACCTGAGTTATAATTGCATCTAGTCCATTAGCACCCCAGGCATAATCCATAGGATTTGAATGAAGAACGCCCCTTTAAAAAAAAAAAAAAAAAGAATAAAACATTAGAACTTTTAGGAGACTCTTATTGCACTTTGTTGATAATTTGTTGACTGGTTAAATATAACTCCATAGACTTACCAGGGTCCAACACCAATATTTGGCATTGCAGTAGGTGCAATTATTCCATTCACTAGCTGCTGAATGATTCTAAAAAAGAAAAGATACACATAACAAAACTATGATACAGATGTATTGGGGGAGAAATTAAATTAGCTTCCAAGGGTTAAAGCACGCCACCATTAATTTAAGTCTGTGTAGAAGATTTATTACCTAATAGTTTTATTTTTTATCTAAATATTGGCTTTTTTTGTTTCCTGACTATCTCTGTGAGTGAAACCTTTTCTTCTATTGTGAAGAGAGCCCAGGACAGCCCTGTGAGGAGACACACCTTAACTCACATTGGAACTTTCTACTGTATTAAGCCAATGTAAATCTACTCCGACATACTTGTGTTTTGGGCAAAGGAAATAAATGTTCTGCCTTCAGGATAGTGGTCAGAGATGTACTGATGCAGCATGTACATGTGTTTCTCTCCACGATGCATGAAAGCTTGTCATAATCATCTGTATTCTATGTAAGTTTAAGTAAAGATTATTTTCCTCAATTTCGAACCTTCCACAAGTTCTTTCGACAAAAGCTTTCTTCCACATCCCACAAGGCACAAACTGTGCTCCTTACCCCTCTAAAGTGGGAACTCCCTCATGCCTCCCTGCTTGTCGTCTTGAACCGTGACGACTTCTCGGTTGCCTGGCACCATACCGTTGTCGTGATGCATTTTCCCTTTCCCGCCTGTTTTCAGCATCCCGGTTGTCCTCTGTTCCCAGCCCAGGCCCGAAGTCAAAGCGGTCGTCGAACACACCCAGGGCAAACTGACCATAGCCTGAAGGGAATGTAAACAAGTGCTGGTCCACATTCTGGGAGAAAAAAAAAACAAAAAACAGAACATGTGTTATCAACATATCATACGATATATACGATTATTGCCTGTCACAATATCGACTTATTGTTTCACAATGTCACCAACATTTTGGGCAATATAATGCCACAATAAACAGCAGGGTTTTCCTAACCATTATATATACTGCTGTTAAGAAACGAATGAGACTATAGCCTACCCCTGTGCCAATTTAAGTGCAATTTTTGCTAACAGACCCAGAGACTAACCCTTTATTTATTGTTTTGGTTGTGTTTGATTTGTTTAATTGATCAAGAATATTTTAATATTTTTTTCACTTTCCAATTCCAATGTGTGAATATTCTTTATGGTGTACTTATCATTATACAAGTCCAGTAAATGATCCAACAAAAGTAGGTATTTTGACAAGCATAGAAACAAGCCAAGTTTTGTTATTTTTATACATGTCCGCAGTTATTTATGGTCAATACAACACACCTGAAGTTTTGTTGCAAAATTTCAACCTAAATGCATGCTGACATACAGAATTTCCCAGTTCACTGGAGGTAACAGTATCTTTACAGCCCACAGAATATATATATATATATAT